AGACCAGTAGTACTAGAAAACAGTGCCTCGAAGTCCTGTATCACTCAGATGGCCCAGAGAGATATCACGATCTGTGGTACTGAGTGCCACTGAGAGATCCAGTTCAGATATACTCCCCTGACCATTCCCCAGAATAGTTTTCCACCAAGATCTATTTCTATCCCAAAACCAGACCTGAACCCAGACTGGAATGGATTGTGGCAAACAGTTTAACACAGGAATGCCTGGAATTGTGCTGCATCCTTTAAAAAAATGGAACATCAGATAATGACCAATAATTGCCTGAAGTGTTGAGATCCAGTTGTGTTTGTTTCAGCAGAGGTCTGCTAACCACTTGTTTTAGAGATGTTGAAACAGAACCCACTTTCCAAAAAAAAAAAAAAAAAAAAAAAAAAAAGAAAAAGAAACATTTGCAAGTTCTGCTCTACAACTGGCTATCCCTTCTCCAGCAGCACTCATCAGTCAGGATAGACATAGAATTAATGAACAATTAATTATCTTCCCTCCCCCTAGTAATTTGCCCACATTATTAGGTTGAACAATGATGTAGGCATCATTGTTCTTACCCATCAGAACTGGAGCGGACAGTATTTTAAGTCCCTCCCCAGAATTAATACCTAAAAAGGAGTCCAAGTGAGAATGAACATGAATGATTTTCAGAGCAAAATGTTTTGTTAACTGATTACAGTTTCTGGAGTCTTGGATGTAATATTTCCTATACTACTAAAAAGATTTGTGTAAAAGAAATCTGTGGGACAGGATTGTGTGCTCCTATGGAGGCAGCAATGAATGTCTTTGCTACTTACACTGCTGCAGAGTAGGCCCTAAACCATGTTTGATCATATTTGTGCGGAGTATTTTATTTAAATTGAAAAAGACATACAAACAACTGGATAAGCACAAAATCAAAACCAATATAAGCCATACTGTTACACAAACAGTGCTCCCCTACCAAAGTACTTTGTCTTCAGCTCCTCAGGAAGCTAAGGAGACAGTGATCCCAATTCACATCAAGGACTCTACTCCAGGGGAGTGGTATCCATTTTCTGAATTGCATTCCTGTTCCACAGACCATCTGGAATTTAACAGGATCACAAGCTGTAATAGCGGGAAAACAGACTAGACAGTTTTTCTTGGTCTGCAGAGGTGAGGAGTCCCAGAAATGTAAATTCTACTAAGTAAAGATCTGTTCCCCCCTTTATGGATTTCTGCCTTGTCATGGCAAAGGGGCTTGAGTAATTCAGAGAAGCTATGGGCTATGCTGTGCAGGGCCACCCAAAACGGACAGGTCACAGTGGAGAGTTCTGATTAAACACCATCCACCTGGAGCAAGAATTGGCAAGCCATTCCAGTATCTTTGCCAAGAAATCTCCATGGACAGAAACAAAAGGCTAAAAGATATTACGCTAGAAGATGAGCCCCTCAGGTCGGAAGGCACCCAACATGCTACTGAGGAAGAGTGGAGGACAAGGACAAGTAGCTCCTGAGCTAATGAAGTGGTTGAGCCAAAGCCGAAAGGAGCTCAGCTGTAGATGTGCCTTGAACCGAAAGGAAAGTCCAATGCTGCAAAGAAGAATACTGCATAGGAACCTGGAATGCAAGATCTATGGGTGTTGGTAAGCTGGATGTGGTCAAACAGGAGATGGCAAGAATAAACATTGACATCCTGGACGTCAGTGAACTAAAATGGATGGGAATGGGCGAATTCAGTTCAGACGATTATCATATCTACTATTGTGGGCAGGAATCCTGTAGAAGAAAAGGAGTAGCCCTCATAGTCAACAAAAGAGTGGGAAAAGCTGTACTGGGATACAATCTCAAAAATGATAGAATGCTTTAAATACAAATCCAAGGCAGACCTTCCAAAATCACAGTAATCCACGTTTATGTACCAACCACCAATGCTGAAATTGACCATTTCTATGACGACTTACAACATCTTCTAGAACTGACACCAAAGAAAGATGTTCTTCCATTATAGGGGACTGGAATGCTAAAGTAGGGAGTCAAGAGATAAAAGAAACAACAGGTAAATTCGGCCTGGGAGTTCAAAATGAAGCAGGGCAAAGGCTAATAGAATTTTGTCAAAAGAACAAGCTGGTCATCACAAACACTCCTTTCCAACAACACAAGAGATGACTCTACACATGGACATCACCTGATGGCCAATACTGAAATCAGATTGATTATATTCTCTGCAGCCAAAGATGGAGAAGCTTTATAAAGTCAGCAAAAACAGGACCTGGAGATTATTGTGCCTCTGATCATCAGCTTCTTACAGCAAAACTCACGCTGAAACTGAAGAAAGTAGGAAAAACCAATGGGCTAGTCAGGTTTA